TGTGATCTAATATGCATTTCTGTATGACAAATGATAAGGCTGTTGTCTATTGATCACTGAGATTTTGAAGTCACTTAAATATTTCAATCAGCAGTAAACAACAATGCCGGGCAGATCTAGCTAATATTACATCTAATATTACACACAGTGATGAGTATCATTTTTGTAAACATTTGTGGTTACTGAAAACGCCTTTGAACTGTTTATTTAAATCATGTGGGATCTGATAATTTCTACGAATCATTATGCAGCTTTATTTTAACACCCAACAGAATTCAGAACCCAACTAGCTTTATTTACAGATTTCTGCTTCGCTTTCAGTAATCAGTCATCTGAGTTAAACATTTCTACTTCTCTTGCAGTAATCAGTCATCTGAGTTTAGATACAGTATAGTGGGCTTTGACATTTCATCTTTGTGGTGATGGGCTCAATAGACCTCTTCTGTTGCACCAGGTGTTGTGGCTTTAGTTCATGTCCTCACCAGTGTTGGGCAAGTTACTTCCAAAATGTAATACATTATATATTACTAGTTACTGTCTTTTGAAAGTAATTAGTTACATTACAATATTACTGTGCGTTACAGCAAAAAGTAATATACTACTGTAATATTATTACTTTTGTAATGCGTTACTCCCAACACTGGTCCTCACTGGTAAAGTCATCATTGCTGATGAGACGCCTGTTTCAGTGACCATGCAGCATGTATATATTTTTTTAGTCTAACTGGATAGACTGAATGTGCCCTGCTGTTGTGTGTCTAAAGACAAAAGTTTGTTCTGTGCTGTCCTAGTTTTCTACAGAGAGCCATTGTTTGTGCATAGTATTTACTTAGTTTATGATGAACAAATATTGATTCAGCAGACTGCATGTAATACTAAAAGTACAGCACACACACTCCAAACATGCAAAAATAACAATAACTTTGGTATTAAAGCAAAAAGGTTTGCTGTGACACTGAGGAACATTATGACTCTTTGTTCATTACTACACTGTAAGATAGTAGGATTACATGGTTGCTTAAAAAGTACCATCATTTTGTGTTGGATAATGTACAGCACGTGTCTCTTGATGCATATAGATTAAGTTCAGTGGACTAGCGCCCCCATGAGGCAGCTACCCATGTACAAAATGGAACGGTGAATGCGGTTCAGTTAAACATTGCATTTGACAAAAAAAAAAAAGATGGTCATGTCAAGATGGTGGACATAACTGGCCATTATCGCAACTCTAGTCTATTACAACTTGTGCAAATTCCATTGTTTTACGATTTCAAATTTTCTGTCAATAGCAAAGAGTTTATCCTCATCCTCAGCAAATAACATTTTAAATTTAGGCCTGTCCTTCACAAAGGCTATCATATGACATCAGAACAGGGACGCGGGAAGTAGGGGTGCTGAGGGGGCTGCAGCACCCCCTGTTTTCACATGGTTGCAAATGCAACGCCAAGTTTGTTCATTTAAATTTATTCAGTTTTAGCATTTAATAATTTATTTGTAATGATCTCTGAAATGTAAATTGTAAGTGGGCTATAATCATTCTTGTTTTCTTCTGAAACCGTTCAAAATTGCCTATAGGCTAGGTGTTGTGTTTATTGTTTGTACATGATAATATTTCGCTTTATTTACTGGTGTTATTTATGAATGTAATAATGCGATTTGTGCTTACTATATTTTTTTAACCTAAACTACAACGTAACATTAATGTAGACCTACATACCGGTATCTAAATATGATTTCATATATTTTATGCTATATAGACCTACCACATTACCCTCCACTGGATGTATAATGAGCAGCAATAAACTACATTTTGGCATTTTATAATACTTCTGTGGATATTTTGGTGAAAGTAACTCAAAAGTAGTGTAACGCATTACAATTCAGAGACAGTAATATTGTAATGTAACTAATTACTTTCAAAAGACAGTAACTAGTAATATATAATGTATTACATTTTGGAAGTAACTTGCCCAACACTGGCTATAATAAACCCATGTTTTTCTTTATAAACATGATTAATTTTACTTGTGATGTCTTCTATATGGGATGATTAGCCTAATCCTCATGAACACGTGACGCTAGCGTGTGGTATCAGACATGAACTATACAGAATGCGAACAAGATTAACTTTAATACAAGGAGATAATGGCGCAAAAGCGAATTTCAGATTTTTTAAAATGCCCATCCCAGCAAAAACTTTCCAAAATCGGCATCCAAACAACACCTGCCCCAGCACGAGCACCGACGTAAGTGAACCAGCCCCACCACACCCACACCACGGACACACACAGCACCCCCAACCGAAAACATCTTCCCGCGCCCCTGCATCTGAAGAATAAAATATAGTGCATGAGTGGCATTCAACTACTTTTATGATAGGCTACTTTAATTGTGCATAATGTTAGGGCTTGAAGTTTTCCATCCCTTTCCACATTTGTATTGTATGTATAAAGAACAGCTTCTATAAAACCTCTAAAACCTATAAAAACCTCTTTGTTCCACTGATTTTTCCCCCCCTAAATATTTTTAGTTAGTATTAGTGGTATTTGTATTTGCTGTTTGTAATGTAAGTTGATTGTAATGAACAGTCACATGCAAAAGAATTAGCAAATACTCAAACACAAATTTCCTCCTACATGCCTTGAATTATTGACATTGCTGAACTCCACCTTTTAATAAATTTCTGCCCGTAAGTTATTTTCTCCCAAACCCTTAATCGTTATATAAATACACTGTCAAATTTTTTTAGCTGAAGTGACGTAAAAGTGGATGTAAATACACAACGTAGATGTACATACTGTTATGAATCAATTTACAAATTACCATTATTTCACTGTACACATATTAGTCACATCAAGTTTTTATACTTAATGTAATAAATGTCCAAATGATGCATTAGTAGTCATCCATAAATGTATTCTCAACCAGACATGTTGCCCTTTTTTAGTGTGCGTATGTGTACAATAATAAGATCAAGAGCTTAAGAAAACTTTTCAGTCAAATGACTGGTATAGTGTACATTTTTTCAGTACTTACCCAAGTTACTTAACTATTTTAAAATGATAGGTCAAATTGTATTTCACTGTCCTGTGGATATCAATATTGATACAGATTTTTCATAAATGCACCAATGAGTTTGAATAGCTGTCAGTGGTAAAACATGACTTTACATTATAGTTAATATAAATTTCTACAAAACAATCTGTCATTTCTGCCATTACGTTGAACATGTGTGGTTATGCTAGCTAAACACTGCCTGGCAGATTGTATGACAAGCAAACTGTATAACTGCAGTTAATTAAAGAACAAATAGTCATAAACTAAACACAGAGGCTTCTGATATGAAATATTATATAGCAGTGGCCTTTAAAAATCAGTCCAGGATAACAGAAGCATCTAATTTAGCTTCATTTATATGTTCAAAAATCTTTTTATTTTTTTGCTTACCTCATTTTCTAATACAACACGATTTGTCATAATTAATTGAATACACGTAATTTAAACTTGTTAAAAAGCAATTGTGTTGGGATTACGATAAATCATTTTGTTCATTGGTCTGGATGTGCAAAGTAAATAATTAATTAATAAAAATAATTTATGCATTTAGCAGACGCTTTTATCCAAAGTGACTTACATTGCATTCAGGCTATACATTTTTTTTACCAGTATGTGTGTTCCCTGGGAATTGAACCCACGACCTTTTGCTCTGCTAACGCAATGCTCTACCACTGAGCCACAGGAACAAAATGTTGATGTTAAGTGTTATTTTATGTTTTGCAAGTTGAGATTCCTATGAGCTATTCCCTAAAAAGTTAATGAAAATAAAATAAAACTTTTCTTCAGCTGAATTTTGCTGTACTATATCTGCCCTCCTTTATTTTTGTTGTACTGCAAAATGATTACTGATTCCCAAAAGGTTTTTGTAACAGTGTTTTGAATTGATCTCACTACTTCCTCTAGGCAGGAAAGTAGTATGGGTATGGTAACACTTTAGAATAATGGTCCGTTGTTAACAAGTAACTATGCAGGAAGTAATAGGTAGTACTACATTAACACTTAACACATTTACACTTAACTTGCTACTATTAACTAATAGAGAAGCAAGATTAACTAAGCAGTAGGATATTTTTATTTAATAATTATCAAATATCTAATAAGGAACTACCTTTGTCCTTAATTTGCTACTACTTACTACTTAGTTAATCTTGCTTCTCTATTAGTTAACAGTATTAAGTTAAGTGTTAATGTAGTACTTACCTATTACTTCCTGCATAGTTATTTGTTAACAACGGCCCATTATTCTAAAGTGTTACCAGTGGATTTACTTACTGTAGAGTTAACGAAAGTTATCATGAGCACTTACTTTTTCCCCAAATTCTGTTTTATTTTTTCTAAATTCCATTTTGTCCATTTGAATTTTTCTGGATTCTGTTTAAATTTTTCTAGACTCTGCTTTAATGGATAAAATAAATGTTATTAATGAAAAAGCATGTCTACTTGTTTGAAATCATGTAACGTACAGTATTTAACAGCAATTTATTAAAAGTTTAACAAAAATTACATTACATTTTTTTCTCAAATTCAGTTTTATTTTTACGACATTCTGTTTTCCATTAATTTTATGGATTCCATTTTAAACGTTTCATAAAATTTTAATAATAATCAAAAGCATTTGTAATTAATTGATTTTATAAAAAATATTATTATATTTTTCAGAAATAGTTGTGTAGGCCTATTTACATTTTTCTGCTAATTCTGGTCAAAAATTTTTTTCTGGTATATATATATTTATAATATATAATATATTAATAATTTATAATATATTTCTGTCACAGTTTCTTCAAGTTACATTTATTTTGACAGGTAGCTGTGAAGTTTTTGTTTCTAGCTACACTCCTGAACAAAATAAAGTCGGCATGAAACTTTAAGGCACAATATGTAATTTTTGCCTCTATAGAGAGCGCGTATTCAAAATAAACAAAGAGACAAAGGCGTAGTTTATCTGGAGGAATAACACCTTCTGTCGTAAGTGGCTGCATGTTGCAAAATAACCATCTTCTTTATTATCCTCTTGCTGGCCTTATTTTTACGAGGCCTTTAGATGAGGTGTAGAATTAAATGTTCTCTCCCAAAACAAATTGTGTCAAATTTATGTCATTGGCAGGCGACACAATGACACTATGGACACGGTCCGTGTCACTAGTTAAAATTGCTTATTTCTCTGGATTTAAACATTCTTCAAAACATTTGGGATAATGTAAGTACACAAGTCAGCAAAACACTGTTCTAGTGGTTTTTGGATATTTTAATAAAAAAAATCTTACATATTGTGCCTTGAATAGAATAGAATAGCTTTTCATTGTCATTGTACAGCTGTACAACGAAATTTTTTTGCTCTCACACTGAAGTGCACACATACATACAAAGAATGTACATTTAACAAAATGCAAACAATGATACAGAAAATGTAAACAGTGCAAATGTAAACAGTTATATATACCAAATGTGCAAAATAGGTATAGTGCAAATGTAGCAGATATGTACAGTAGTGAGTGAAATATTAATAAATCAAGAGAATTAAGGAATAAATATACAGTTAGTTGTGGGGGGATTTCTCTCCACTGGATTCACCGCCGACACCTTAGCATGAAGACATCTTTTATTTATTGAGGAAGACGAGGACGATCAATGGCACAAAACATGCCTAAAAGCGCGCGTGCGCGCGCGAGAGAGAGAGACTGCCTGAATGACTGAGCGCGTCCTCCATCAAGGGTAAGTCATATTCATAAAAAAAATAGTTTGCGATGTCCTAAGAGTAATGTTGTGGTAATATCCTAATATCCTTTCAATTTTAAGGGTAGTGTACTCCCTCATTGCTTATTGATTTCTAAAGTGAAGCATCAGCTTCAGCTTTCTCCCCCTGTTGTTTATACCAGCGTTTACCCTTCACGTCACTAGCGCCACCCTTGCGCCATAGCTCGTGACCGGAAGAGAAGATGAGTCGTTTTGAGGGGGAGGGGAGGTTAACGTTTTTGATTAAAGATTACGAGGGCACATGAATTTAAAAAAAATAATGAAGTGCACGGATAAATTATTTATAATAAACACTACAGTATTCCATTAAAAAATAAGAATTTTCAATTTTGATTTCATGCCGACTTTAAGACCGGGGGAAACATTACAAGTATTCGCATTTCGCGCTGGTGGATCATAACCAAGTTGTAAGTGCTGCTTCAAAATGGCAAAAGAAGAAACAGGAGCAAGAGACAAAAAATAGAGAATAGGCAATTTATTGAAAACTGCATTTAAACTCAGCTGATCAAAAGTTTAAGGCCATAGCCTTAAAAAGTTCTGCTTTTTAAAAAATCTGCACAAAAAATCTGGCTTTCATGTCATTGTCCTTCAGTCAGTCACACTGTCATGATCTCCTGATGGCAAAGGCAAAAAGTCTTTCTGTCTTGGAACTTGGCAGGATTGTTGAGCCGCACAAGCAAGGGTTCTCGCAAACGCGCCATTACTGCCGAGGTTGGACGCAGTAACACAGTCACTTTACATTTCGTGAAGACACAGGCCGATCCTCGACCCAAATTAAGGCCCTTACTGATGCTGACTGCAGCCCATAACCATAAGACGGCATCTGTGAGAGAAGGGCTTAAAGACCAGAAAACGTCTTTAAAGGCCACGTCTCCTCCCACGCCACAAACTTGCCCGTTTGGAATTTGCAAGGGGGCACCAAACATGGGACATTGAAAGGTGGAAGAAAGTTTTATTCTCTGACGAGAAAAAAATTAACCTGGACGGTCCTGATGGCTTCCAGCGTTACTGGCATGACAAGGAGATCCCACTGGAGATGTTTTACGTGGCACAGTGGAGGAGGCTCCATCATGATCTGGGGTGCTTTTTACTTCAATGAAATAATGGATCTTTAGGTTGTGCAGGGGCGTCAAACGGCGGCTGGCTATGTGGACATGTTGCAGAGGGCATCCCTCTTGACTGAGGGCCCTCGTCTATGCGGTAATGACTGGGTTTTTGAACAGGACAACGCTGCAGTTCACAACGCCCGCCTGTTGAAGGACTTCTTCCAGGAGAATAACGTTGCAAAGACTTTTTGCCGTCAGGAGATCATCATATAATGTTATTTAGAGCACTTAAGAACTGTGAGTATTCAGAGTAATATTTTGACAGCCAAAGTGAGTTATTTTGCACATTTAATTTCAAGTGTGTTAGTTTACTCAATTAACTCGAAGTATATTTGACACAGAGGTCAATTCAGTAATTCTGCCATTTGTGATATTTCCCGTTTGGGGTTAAATTGTTCCAAACTTGAGATCAACTTGATTGTGTGACTACTTCACAACTTTGAAATTTGAGCGGAGGAGACCAATTGTTGAATAAAGTCTTTTTTTTTTCTTTTGCGCACAAAAATGATTCTTGTAGCTTTGTAAAATTACGGTTGAACTCCTGATGTCACATGGATTATTTTACAGATCTCCTTGCTACGTTTCTGGACTTGGGAACATTTCAGTTGCGTTGCTGTCTATGCAGGGTCAGACAGCTCTCAGATTCCATCAAAAATATCTTAATTTGTGTTCCGAAGATGGACGAAGGTCTAAAACGGCATGAGGGTGAGTAATTAATGACAGAAATTTCATTTTTGGGTGAACTAACCCTTTAATTCAACATCTCTTAGGCATTAGTTTATTGAACCTGGTGCTGCTCCTTACTAATCTGTTATAAAAGAAGGTAGGGGGCGCTACACTAGTTAATAATAAATATTATTGATCATCTAAATGCCCTACCATAGATATCCAATCTATGGTTCTTACAAATATAGCTGCACAATCCCAGCAAACATGTGACGTCAGAGAGACGTTCAGATCATGTCTGTATAACGTCCGTTAGTTCAGAACCACTTTTGGAAGTCTTCTGGACGTGCAAAACTGGTTCAATATCTGAACGTCTGACTAAGACCCCTTTTGGACGTCTGTGGACGTGCAAAACTGGTTGACCAATTAACCTTCCATGAGACTTTGCGACCGTGGACCCACATTTTGCAGGTTATAAATGTCCATGGTTAATATTACGTAGTATTTGTTAGTATCACATAAACGCTTAAGTCTGGATAATCAATCATTGTGTCATATAGTCGGACAGAAGACCGAAAAGTAACACAATTAATTTTTTATGCATATTAAGACATTTTAAGGTGCTTTAAGTGTTCCAGGAGAGTAACTTATGGGTTTGGCGCCAGTGGTGGAGTGCAACATTTAAAATATAAAACACTTAGCAGTGTCAGTAATCTTGAACTGAATCTGATCTGTATATTTCATTTCAGAGCGACATATCGGAGTAATTCTCATTTGATTCAATGAAGATATAATAGTTTTGTAATAACGAATATTCTTCTTTATCTCTTTCAGGTTAAAGCACAAGGCTTAAGAAGGTAAGTTTCTGTTTAAGCAGACATAAATTTGTCTTAAATAATACAATGTTCCTAATTTTGTCAAATTATGTTTGTGATCTATTCAAGCAACAAAATATGTATTAAAGTGTTGAAAATGTGTTTTAGTTTTTTTTTCTTTCAAACATTTTTTTGTTGTCCCACATTATCAAATATGATTGAGAATGTGGGACAGCATGCTTTGGGTAATCTGGGACAGTCTTCAAATGGAGGAAATATGTATTTAGGGACTTTATAAGTCTAATGACAAGGGATAATATATGCTATAATGAGAAATGGGTGTTAATGTGGACTACTGGAGGTTATAACATTAGCATAAGTGCTAAAAAGACGTCTAAAAAAGACGTCGCAAAAACTTTAATTCTGGCTCCTCGGTGGACATCTTTTGAACGTACGACAAAGACGTTAAATTGACGTCTTTTGGACGTGTCTTTGCTCAGTGGGATGTTGTGGCATTTTCAATGAAGATGTATTGGTTTCTAAGTGTGAGTGATGAGCAGGATCTGAAATGTTGACCATTGCAAAATGGTGGACATGCAGACATATCTGGAGCAGTCAAATGTGGTATCTACATATATCTATAGAAAATACTTCCTAATTATTGATATGACAATATTAGCAGCTGATATATGGGTGGCATAACCTATATTTCTGTCAACGATTTTTGTCACTTATGATAACAGTCACTTACTCAGGAAATGACACAGCTAAATGAAATGCAAGAATTTAAGAAGTTTAATAATAACATATATTTAAAACATGATAAGTATGGAGGCATTTGAAGGAAAATACAGAACAGTTTAACCCAAGATTAATTATAGACTGATTTGTGGACAGCACAAGTTGACATCCATGAATATGTAGTCATTTAAGAAAACAAACTTGCTTAAACATCCATTTAAAACACCAACGCACAAATTAAGTAATATGATATTAAGTAATGACAGAAACTGAGACATTGTTATATGTCAATATATTGTGAAATGCACAAGTTAATTATTTAATAATTTTAATTTCACTTCTTTTAGGGATAACGAAACATGGTGGAAAAAAATCTTCATCCTGTTGAGAATAAAAGACAGGGAAGGTGTTAGCATTAATGTAATATCCATTAAACAAAGATCTTGAGTCATAGTCATCACTTACAGCAGTTAGCAAGCTGCTTCCACTCTGGAGACACGTCAGCCTTTATCAGCGCACAAGCGGACACATAATTATTGAAGGCATTGCAGAAAGCATTCTGACTTCCATCATTGAGACACATCTGGAAAAGGCAGTCAGCAGCAAATCGCCTCTTTGATATTATGTCATGGCACTGGGCAAACGGGCCTGTTTCATTCTCTAACATGCCACAGTAGCTTAGTCCGCTATATAGCAACTTATTTTCATCTGAGCAAGGGGGAAAGTGCCAGCAGTTGCCGTTGCTTTCAGGGACACTCCAAGACTTTGCCCATTCTGTGATGTCTGTCATGCTATTACCACTCGGTGTGACATAATCATCCTCCACATCATTATTGTAGGTTCCACACATCCCGACTATGTTATTGTAGTAGCTACTGGACAATGTCACCATAAGGGTATCTGCCCAGTTAAACTTGACCTCCAAGCCAAAATCTGTCTGCAAAACCCCTATACTGCCAGAGAGGGTGATGCTGATCCCTTCAGAATTTAAACTCACAGGAAGGTTTGAAACTGTGCCATCAATCTGGATAGGAAAAAAGGAGAGGAAGCAACAGATGTGTCATTTCCAGAGTGTAGAGGAGCCAACCCTGCTCTCCTAGAGGGCTACCATCCTGTAGATTTGAACTCTAACCCAAATTAAACACACCTTAACCAGCTAATCAAGATGTTAAAGACTACTTAAGTAAATAACAAGTAGGGGTGTTGTAGCAGGTTTGTAACTGAAGTCTGCAGAAAGGTAGCCCTCCGGGAACAAGCTGGCTATGCCTGGTGCACATTATTACCACTGATATGTTTTAATATCGACTTGATGGATATCACATGTCTGGATCTGTGATCTTTCTGTATTTTATGTTCTGTACTGACTTACTGTCACACGATTGCGGTTGCCTTGGATGAATGTGATTTCATGTCCTCTGACTGTAATGGTGGCTGACTTGACGTAAGAACCACGTGTGCCTTTGAGCATATCGTTCTTGTTGACGATGTTGAACGGTGTCAGTGTTTGGTCTTTGCCTGAAGTTTTAACTAAAGTATAGGTGCAAGTACCCTGGAAGGAGAAGTGGTTGCCATCAAAGGTTCTGTAATGAGGGTCTCCCTTGGCAATGCAAGAGGCCTTTGATTTTGCAATGCACAGTGCCTTGTTGTCCTTTACAGTGCAGTACTCTTTTTCACGGCACTCATGGTTACTGCAAGGATCTGGAACATGGATGCACATCTGTATTATGGTTTCATTTAAAACCTACTTGGGAAATGATGTTCAAAGTTTGTACTTACCTTTCTTGTAACACCCAGTGACTCCTTCTTTTTTGTCACAGATCTGATCGGTGCTACATTTCAAAGGTTCACAGGAGAACACTCCAGCTTTGCAGAGGCATGTTTCTGTACACTCATCCCGAATGATTGCCTCACCAGACTGCAGAACAAACAAGAGACAATAAGTTGCAGTGACTAGTAGGATGTTTGACTACTGCAGGAAAGAAATGGAATGGTTTCTCACCTTGTAAAACTTTCCATCTACTTGACAACCACAATCCTGCAAAGTCTTACATTCACCTCCATCAAACAAGAAGCCATCATCACACTGACATCCCTCCTGACATGGTGGACATCTCTGTGAGTTAGTCAGGCTGGCGCAGGTTGAGGAACAGGTGTCAGCGCAAAGCTCATAATGACTGTTACCTGAACACTCAAGTGCTGCAAGAATACACGATTGTTTTAGGGACTGCTCAGGAATTTGTTTTGGGAGAGAACATTTAATTCTACACCTCATCTAAAGGCCACGTAAAAATAAGGCCAGCAAGAGGATAATAAAGAAGATGGTTATTTTGCAACATGCAGCCACTTACGACAGAAGGTGATATTCCTCCAGATGTTGATTGACGTCCCAATCTCTTGACAGCTGGCAACATACCTTTGTATGTGGCGACAGTGAACTGTCTTGTCATTTGGTTGGGCTGCCACATCTTTCACACATTCATCAAAGAATGTCTGAGGTGGAATTTTTTCATAGCAACCAGAAAATGGCCCCTTCTCTGAGATTAGTATACTGCAAGCTGTCTCTGCCTCTTTCTGTTGGTCTTTGTCAGGATTGAAACAATTGAAGGCACAACCTGTTTTACACATCATTTTGTCTGATGGTGAAACCCAGGCCTCGGCAAAGTATTCCACAGAAGAAGTCTGAATACCGCCTGGCAGGAGAAAATCATCTGCACTGTTTCCATTGTAGTTACCACAGAGACCTTTGACTGCATTTTTAAAAGTGGATGGGATCTCGATTTTGGCCATGGAAATAGTATCATATGTCAGTTTCAATCCAAAGTTTGTTTCCACAACAATATTAACACCGCTCTGATAGACTTGTACAAGTCCTTCATTTAGAGTAGCTGGGAGATTGGTTTGAACTTTGTCCACCTGTAAAAAAACAACAACACCACAATACTTTGTAGGTAGCGGTTTTTGATCTCTTAAAACTATGGTCAGTAATCAATACATTACCTGAACCTCCCAGATGTGGCCAGGCAGCAAAGTTATCGTGGATTGTTCTATTTGTATTTCAACTCTTCGAGTGAAGACAGTCTCAGAGGAGGACAGCTGTTTCACTAAAACACTGAAAGAGTTCTCCTTATTTTTGTTCTGAGCCGTCTCTGCCAATCTATACTCACAGTCTCCTTCAACAGTAAACGATTTCCCATCAAATGACTGATAAAGCCCAAAGCCTGACACTGAGCAAACTGCTTTGCCATCAGGGAAACAGCCCTGAACCCCATTCAGGACCTGGCACTTCTCGTTTGGTTTGCAGTTGAATCCATCATCACACTGAACTCTTCCGTTCTCTTTGCACACACATCTCTGCTTGCACTTGTCTTGAGGGAAGAACTCCTGGCCCAGCTGGTAGTACAGGCCCTTGTAAGTACAGCCACACTGCTGCGCAGCCACACAGTCACCATCGCTCAGGATAAAACCTTTGTCACATGTGCAGCCTTCAACACAGGGAGTGCCCTTACAGTTCTTGGGCTCAGTGAGGCCACGGCAGGTCTGGGGGCATCCTGTTGCACAAACCTCATAGTGGCTGTTTGCCTTGCAGGTTGTAGCTGTAGAAATACCATATTAAGGATGAATGTCACTATGTCTTTAAAATAAACCAGTAAACTACTGTAATGTGTATTTCAAATTACTTGAGATAAACAATGTAATACTAACGGCAGAAACTGTCAGTTCTCCAGGCTTCCACCTGGCCAAGTGCCTCTTGGCAAGCAGCTGTGTATGCAGTAAGAGCACTGCAGAGGGCTGATGAATGGCCACCATACATACACATATCATACACACAATCTTCATAAAACTGATTTGGATTCACTTTAACATGGCAACCTTTAAATGGTCCCTGTTTGTCTGTGATCTTGCTGCAAGGCTTTGTAAAAGTGACTTGGTTTCTCTCTGTGGCATCACATTTAGGACATGCTTTGCCCTGACATCCATCTGAGCATCCAGGGTCATCTTTGACTTTCCAGCTGGTTCCGAAAATTGTTGGGTTTGAAACAAGGGTGTTGTTCGGATTCAGCAAATCATCATTGGCATTGCCGTTCCAGTTGCCACAAAGCCCTCCCACTTCACCGGAGTAAGTGCTGGGGAGAATCAGCTCTACATGGCTTTCCCAGTTGAATTTCAAAGTCAGACCAAAGTCAGTTTTTATCACACCAAAGTACCCACTGTAGAATATAGAGAGCCGACCATCTTCTAGTTCAAATGGCAATTTCACATACAGATCGTTGACCTTCAAGAAAAATTAATTCCATCAATTATGTTCAAAGTCAAGTGCTTTTTTTTTCTTTTGGAGGTGAGTGTATAGTAAGATTAACTCAATTTATGCATGCAGTTATTCATATTATGGTGTATAATTGTCTTTTTGAAGAACTGACCTTTACTTTGCGTGGACTTTCCTTACTTAAGACAATTGTGTATCCATAGACTGTTAATGATACAGTCTTGGTAAAAGAAACTGCCATGTTCCTTCCTCTGTTCTCATTCTTGACCAGTACCTCAAAGGGGATCAGTGATGGCTCAGCTGTATTGAGTAGTTTGGACAAATAATAAGTGCAGGTTCCTTGGAAATCAAAGGTTTTACCATCAAATGTGCGGTAGTGTGGATCCCCTGCACCCTGACAGGTACTATAGGACAATGGGTAACAGTCTTTCACTCCATTCTGTGTGCCACACACTAGAGAATTCTTACACTTTGTTGGTGTGCATTCAACATTTCCAGTTTGAGGGTTGCACACGCATTTCTCTGTGCATTGTTTCTCACCCCAAAATGTCTGCTCGGGTAGATAATATCGGCCTTTGTAAGTGCAGCCACACTTTTTCACAGGTATGCATTCATCTCCTTTACGGACAAAACCTGCATTGCAGAGGCAGCCCTCCACACATGGCAGCGTGCACTTGCTTGGTGCATCTCGATCAGCACAAGAGGCGGCACAGGCTGTGCCGCAGGCGTCATAATACATGTTGACTGGACAGTATGTGTCTTTTAGGAATTAAACAAAGAAAAAAGAAAAAAAATTAAACCTGGAATATAAACAAATATTTTGCTTTTATGGTACACTTATTATAATGCTAAATACCTTTGTTGTAGCATCCAATGGCACCATCTTTTTTGCCACAAATCTCATCTTCAACACATTCCAAGGGTTCACAGGAGAACACTCCAGCTTTGCAGGTGCATTTCTCATCACACTCTCCTCGAATTACTGTCTGACCAGACTGCAAAATAATATTTTGGTGGGAAAGACAAAAAGTTACGGTTTGATTACTATTAGCAAAAACGAACAAACAAAGAACTGACCAGATAGATTCTCACCTTGTAAAACGTCCCATCTACATGACAACCACAGCTATCCAAAGTCCTACATTCACCTCCATCAAACAAAAAGCCATCATCACACTGACATCCTTCCTGACACAATGGGCATTTCTGTGACTTTGTCAGGCTTGCACAGGTCGTGGAACAGGTGTCAGCACAGAGCTCATAGTGACTATTTTTGAAACATGTGAGTGCTGGAAGAAAAGAGAGCAGTTTAAATAAAAATGCTTAGGATTCAGTTCAAGGTAGGACAATTACTATTCCAAATCTCCATTGGCATATCTAAATGGAAATTTAAAAGCATTAAGGGGAATTTAGATAAGCTAGAGTAGAGTTATTGTTAAACCGGAAGAATGCAGCCACTTACGACAGAAGGTTTTATTCCTCCAGATGTTGACTGACGTCCCAATCTCTTGACAGCTGGCAACATACCTTTGTATGTGGCGACAGTGAACCGTCTTGTCATTTGGTTGGGCTGCCACATCTTTCACACATTCATCAAAGAATGTCTGAGGTGGAATTTTTTCGTAACAACCAGAAAATGGCCCCTTCTCTGAGATTAGTATACTGCAAGCTGTCTCTGCCTCTTTCTGTTTGTCTTTATCAGGATTTAAACACTTGGAGCCACAGCTTGTTTGGCACATCATTTTGTCTGATGGTGAAACCCAGGCCTCAGCAAAATCTACCACGGAAGCTGCCTGAATACCACCGGGCAAAAGAAAATCATCTGCATTGTTTCCATTGTAGTTACCGCAGAGACCTTTGACTGCATTTTTAAAAGTGGATGGGATCTCGATTTTGGCCATGGAAATAGTATCATATGTCAGTTTCAATCCAAAGTTTGTTTCCACAACAATGTTAATACCGCTCTGATAGACTTGTGCCAGTCCTTCATCTACAGTCGTGGGGAGATAGGTTTTAACATTGTCCACCTGTAAAGAAAACACCAACATAAAACTTAAAACTCTGTAGGCAGCAGTTCCTGATCTCCTAAAACTATGGTCAGTAATCAATACATTACCTGAACCTCCCAGATGTGGCCAGGCAGCAAAGTGATCGTGGATTGTTCTATTTGTATTTCAACTCTTCGAGTGAAGACAGTCTCAGAGGAGGACAGCTGTTTCACTAACACACTAAAAAAGCTCATGTCCTCATCCTTGCCTTGAGCTGTCTCTGCCAATCTATACTCACAGTCTCCTTCAACAGTAAAGGATTTCCCATCAAATGACTGATAAAGCCCAAAGCCTGACACTGAGCAAACTGCTTTGCCATCAGGGAAACAGCCCTGAACCCCATTCAGGACCTGGCACTTCTCGTTTGGTTTGCAGTTGAATCCATCATCACACTGAACTCTTCCGTTCTCTTTGCACACACATCTCTGCTTGCACTTGTCTTGAGGGAAGAACTCCTGGCCCAGCTGGTAGTAACGGCCCTTGTAAGAACAGCCACATCGTTCCATAGCCACACACTCACCATTGCTCAGGACAAAGCCTTCATCACATATACAGCCTTCAATGCAAGGAGTGCCCTCACAGGCCTTGGGCTCAGTGAGGCCATGGCAGGTCTGGGAACATCCTGTTGCGCAAACCTCATAGTAGCTGTTTTCCATACAGGATGCAGCTGTGGAGAAACAATATAGAGGGCTAATTTTACAATATTTCTTGCATCAATTCTGAGTTATGTATAATTCAAAATCTTAAAAGGGTCATATGATGCGATTTCAAGTTTTCCTTTCTCTTTGGAGTGTTACAAGTTGTTCGTGAATAGATAAGAACCCTAAAGTTGCAAAGACTAAATTCTCAAACCAAAAGAGATATTCTTTATAAAAGTTAAGACTCGTCCACGCCCTCCTAAAATGCCTCGTTCAAACACGTAAACAATGAAACAATGGAATGAATACTAACGGCAGAAACTGTCAGTTCTCCAGGCTTCCACCTGGCCAAGTGCCTCTTGGCAAGCAGCTGTGTATGCAGTAAGAGCACTGCAGAGGGCTGATGAATGGCCACCATACATACACATATCATACACACAATCTTCATAAAACTGATTTGGATTCACTTTAACATGGCAACCTTTAAATGGTCCCAGTTTGTCTGTGATCTTGCTGCAAGGCTTTGTAAAAGTGACTTGGTTTCTCTCTGTGGCATCACATTTAGGACATGCTTTGCCTTGACATCCATCTGAGCATCCAGGGTCATCTTTGACTTTCCAGCTGGTTCCGAAAATTGTTGGGGTTGAAGCAGGAGTTTTGTCAGGAGTCAGCAAATCATCATTATTGTTGTTGTTCCAGTTGCCGCAAAGCCCTCCCACTTCACCGGAGTAAGTGCTGGGGAGAGTCAGCACTACATGGCTTTCCCAGTTGAATTTCAAAGTCAGATCAAAGTCAGTTTTTATCACACCAAAGTACCCGCTGCGGAATATGGAGAATCGACCTTCCTCTTGTTCAAATGGCAAATTCACAAACAGATCGTTGACCTTTAGGACACAAATTACCAAATAATTAACAATTTTAGTTAAAAGTATTTTGAGTTTTTGTAGGTCAGTGTGTAATGGGTTTTTATACAAAGTTTTTAATGTACTGACCTTCACTTTGCCTGGATCATCTTTACTCATGACAATTGTGTATCCATAGACTGTTAATGATACAGTCTTGGTATAAGCAACTGCCATGTTCCTTCCTCTGTTCTCATTCTTGACCAGTACCTCAAAGGGGATCAGTGATGGCTCAGCTGTATTGAGTAGTTTGGACAAATAATAAGTGCAGGTTCCTTGGAAGTCAAAGGTTTTGCCATCAAATGTGCGGTAGTGTGGATCCCCTGCACCCTGACAGGTACTATAGGACGTTGGATAACAATCTCTCACTCCATTCCGGGTTTCACACACTTGGGATTTCTTACATTTTGTCACTGTACAATCAACTTTTCCAGTTTGAGAGTTGCACACACATTTCTCTGTGCATTTTTGGTCCCCCCAAAATGTCTGCTCGGGTAGATAATATCGGCCGTTGTATGTGCAGCCACACTTTTTCAAAGGTATGCATTCATCTCCACTGCGGACAAAACCTGCGTTGCATTGGCAGCCCTCCACACATGGCAGCGTGCATTTGCTTGGTGCATCTCGATCAGCACAAGAGGCAGCACAGGCTGTGCCGCAGGCGTCATAATACATGTTGACTGGACAATCCAGTGCTGGGAGGAGAAGAGGAAAACAAAAATATAAATATTCTGATTATATAGCACATTAATTGTCTGTCAAAATGCTAACTCTATTAACAAAACAATTTTATAAACAGCACCGTGTAAATTTTCAGTTCACATTCTTAAATCCAAATATTAAATTAATTAAAATATATATGCATATACACACTTACGGCAGTTGGAAAGTGTCCTCCATTTTCCAGGAATCTTGATTCCAGCTGACATGCAAGCATCGACGTAGCTTTGAATGTTATTGCAGAGGAAGCTTCTCATACCATTATTAATACAGACATCATAGACACAGTTATCTACATACATCTGGGGATCCACAGTGTCGTGGCAAATAGCAAATGGCCCATCCGTTTTAGCCATGACACCACAGTTTGTGTCTTTTTTGTACTCGTCTTGAAGACCTAAAGAGCAACTTGGGCATTGTCCATTGCAGTCATCATTGCAAAACAAATCATTATCTGGAACTTTCCAGGTCTTAGCAAACGCAATGACATTGGAGAGCACTTGGCCTTTGGGATCAATAAATTCATCTCTTCGGTCACCATTATAGTTTCCACAAAGACCACCTACAGTCTGGAAATAGCTACTTGGGGCTGTAATGTACAACATCATATTCCAGTCATATTTCACCTCTAAGCCAAAATCCGTCGATATAATGACATTCCATCCCCTCTGATCGACTTTTATTTTGCCGCCATCTATAGTTAAAGGCAGGTAAGTGTTTTCACCGTCAAACTAAAATGAGAAACGCCAAAGAGAGAGATTTAGTTACTGTTCAGAGTGGTTATAATTACATTAAGAAACTAATAAGAGTTTTAAAGTGCTTTTCATTTTTACCTCTACTACTCCTCTTTGGCTGCCAGCCACCACTTTATGATTGTACACAAGGACAGAAACCGTCCTTACATATGCCACCCTTGTGCTTCCCCGGTGATTATTCTTTGCCAAGATGGTAAAAGGTGTGAGGCCTTTTTGAGGCTTTGTATTGTTTACCATGATGTAGGTACAAGTTCCCTGAAAGTCAAATAGTTTCCCATCAAATGTTTTGTAATGGGGATCGCCAACTGCCTGACATGTGGCAGTGGAAGTGGGGACGCAGACACCCTTTCTGCACTCCTCCTGCTCACGGCACTTAACAATCTCACAGGGGTCTGGTGGAGCCGGTGTTGCCGTAAAAGCTTAGGGAACAAAGGAATTGTTTTTTGTTTTTTTTTAGATTTCAGTCAGTTACTATTCATATGTCATTATTCAGTCATATGTACTGGTATGTTATTATTCAGACATGATTTCTTACCTGTGTTACACACTCCTGTGGTGGCATAACCGTGCCTTATTTTCCCACCAAAAACATAAGCAGCCATCAGCGAATCACCAGATACAGTGATGGGACCTTTCTGTGTACCAATTGACTTGGTAGCCCATACAAACTTTTCATTAGCAGGGAATGTTTTCCACTTCAATGAACCGCTGATAGTGGAGGCTGATGCTGCTTCGGCAACAACAACAAGAGTGTTATCGTAGCCATCTTGAGCATGAATGGTCCATGATTTTGACATCTCAGAGGTGGGTATGACATTGGTTAGAAACTCATCATTGGGAAAATTGCTACTGAAATACATTACCATTACGTTGTTACTACTTTGAATGAGCTTAGCATTTTTGCTCAAATCAACCGTTAAAACGTCTCCAGCATTTAGTTTGTTTTTTTTGTGATGCCAACTATGCCCACTGAAAACTGACACAATAGTGTTGTCCTCTGGAGCAACCACATAGGCTGTGTCCTTGCTGAAGGACTGATGCATTGCAGGGACCAAGTATTCATTGGAGAGAGACTCAACTGGCACCAGCTGCTCAAAGACATGCTCACAGCTGCCTATGATCATGGAGCACTCGTGTCCTGCCAGGACAGCCACTGGAGACGTGGATTTAATTTGTGTTCCAGTCAAAGTTTCAAGACTGCGATGTTGATAAACTTCGTAGGGAGCCAACTTGATGGTTTTGGTTTTTCCAAAAATGGCATTCCAAGGATTTCCTGAATTGGAGACAATCTCGACTGTGTTCATATAATTGCCGTTGATTATGGCTACCAGCTTTTTATACGGACTTGGACCCGTGTTCGGAGTAAAAACTACATAACGCTGGCCAAGTTGATTTATTGGGAAGATCACACTGCTGTCTCCGGTGAATTCCTTTAAGTTGGATGAAACGACTGAGATATCGGCAGTAGAAGAGATGTAGACAGTTTTGCGGAAGGCTCCGTCACCTTCAATCTCAGTGTTTTGTGGGAGGACAATCCATTTGGTCTCACCTTGTCCAACGCTCACTTTTTCACTGTAGCTCAGTGCCTTTATCTCAATTTTCACAGTGGCAGGGGAATTATGTGCTGTTATGGAGAGAGTCAGACTGGCTTTTCCATATTGGTAATTTGTCATGAAAGCAGTGATGAATTCACGGCCTATTGGACATCCGCTGACTACTGTAGTAAAACAGAAACACAGTATGTATTTAAAGCAAACATTATTATTAGTAATAGTATAGCATTACCAAATAAAAAAATAGAAAAAGAAAAATTACGTTCCATTAAACATCTTAAGTATTAGAAACCATATTACAATGTAATTCTTATATTGCAATTCTTAAGACTGTGATAATCTTACCAGTTACTGTTAAAACTGCCAGATAGCAAAGAAAAGATTGCGTCTCCATGGCTGTAAAAGAGGAACAAAATTTTAGTTTTAAGTCTTACAAGGATGAACATAATTCTGAAGAGTAGTGATCAATACTTACCTGGAGCCCAGGTTTCTTGTGAACAAAATATTAAATAAAGGGAGGGCTTATATAGTATTGCTGTGACGGGGAAAAAAGTACATTCCGGAAACAGGAACTCACTTTTAAGGTACATAAAAATGTGTGTAAATTAAAGCTAATAAGTGTTCTGCATCACAGCTATTGCAAACATGACACTGACGACAGAAAGACACACAATATTTATTAATAGTTATTACACACAATATTTACGAGTTTATAGAACAAATATACTTTAAGGAGGGAAGGATTCAGATGGTTTGAAGTGTGTGTATATGGATCTAAATGAACATACCACTGTGTACATTTCCTCCCTCTACAACCAACAAACTCGACTATGTGTTCACAAAATACATTGAAGATTCACAAAGCATATGAGCAGTCACAGGGCACTAGAACAGCCCTTTAGCGGTAGTGGCTTCAGCCCACAATTTCCCATCAGTCACACGCTTACCTGAGTGTTTACATTAATCAATTTGGGTGATTATGCTGTAAATGCATTTCATGTTAACTTGCGTATATGCATCTGATGTGCAATGTAAGTTTAGCATTTAAATTCTACAATCTTTGTCAGCGACTGTGTGTACTATGACACATTGTTCACACAGAAACAAGGCAGATGACTTAGGGTAAAAGATGTTTGCGCAGTCTTCCTGTTTAAATGGATTGTATGAGCAATGTGACGGTACAAACAGAAACTGATGTGTTTTAATTACTTTGTTTGCCTGACATGTTTGCCTGATAGTGTCGGTTGACTTTTTTTCAGTCTGAAACTAGTTAATCCTCCACTTGAAGGGATCAGACTTCTCAGAACTGCTTCTGTTATTTCCCTAATCTAATTCAAACCTGAGCCTCCAGAATAGTTAATGAGTTCATGTCACCTGTCACTTGAAGATTAATATCACAAGATATTCGATTGCACTCTTATTTAGGTCTGGGCCAAACAAGTGAATAATTTGTGATGGAAATCAACTTACTGTAGTTGGAAATAGATGGAAAGAAGAGAGTGCCTTGAATCTGTTCATAGTATGATGACATAAAGAGTACAAAGACATTTTGGAGGGCAGCATCAGAAAGCTGCATCTCTGTCACTGCTGGGTCTTCCAGCTGGACAGTGATTCTAAACACAGCAAAAACATGCAAGTTAACAGGTAGAACAAGGAGTGGCTGTGCTTTTGTGTCTCTAAACTTTACTGTAATATTTCCACATTTATCTGAAAAATACTTCTTTACTAGTTTATTAGAATACTGCACACCCCTAAAAGATTTAAGTCAATGTCAATTATGTTTTTACAACATACCCAGTGTACACCTAAAACGGTTCTGCATGAAATGTATTTATTCAATATACTTCTTCATCAGCAATCCCATTTTATTTGAAACATTTAAATTCAAACAGGTATAGATATGTATAGCATATAAATAAAAGAATTTAGAGACTAGAAATAAAACAGACTAATAACTATAAAACACAGACATTTTGTGTTTAAGTCATTCTGGGCCAAATGACAGTCTAAAAATACTGTCCCATTTTGTGTACTCTTGAAAGTCCAGTAGAAACACATGATATATCAGACATGAAAGTATTTATATATAGATGTTGATGTGTAGATGTTAAATAAAACTGATCAAGAGAATCTGATGATTCAGTTCTGTAGCATCTTTATTTAACACCCATTAACATGACAGTAAAAAATTTTTTGTTTTGTCCTGTAAGTCCCACATTAGCTCATTTCTAAGTGGTTAAACCGGTGGTGCTAAAACACTGTCTATACTCTCCTACATTGAAAGCAGTTATCATTACTACATTATCGATCATAGGTGTCACATCGGACTCGTGCACATCCCTAGTAGTAGTAATACTATATATTATAATGTTATGTTGTAATTCTTAATTACAACAATTCATTTGAAATAACCCAGTAAACTTATAAAACATCTCACCTTCGGGGATTTAAGATAAGTCATCCGAACTTATTTATGATCGTTTTAAAGAACACTTTGAATCTGAAGAACATTTTTAAGAAGTGTTTTGGGGAGGGGTGTGAGGGGAATACAAGATATTCTTAACGTTTTTCTTAAGTACGAAAACAAGAAGAAAACGGCAGCAGAGAAAATTTGTATTCTAGAGCACTTAGTTCTGGTTAGTTCTATGAGTCAGTCAGCTGTAGCAGAATCAGAGGGCATTTGCTCTAACTTTGAAGAGATTAAGAAGTTATTGACATTTATGGCTAGGTTTTGAGTCACAACTTGTGACTAGACCATGGTGTCATGGTCTGCAGAAAGGAATCAGAAAGACATTGGCGCCCTCTAGGGGGGAGGTAAAGTCGTGGGAAACCAAATTTAGATCAATTGTAGTGGAGTGTACTGTAATGTAATGTATCTAGTCTTCTATACAGACTCTAGACCCATATTGTATAGACCCTATATATGTGTAATTTAAAAGCTGGGTCTGATTTTGGCCATATCAAACCATGACTTAGTATCAGAATAGTGTATGATAGTGTACCTAAATAAGGCATCTATTTTACTAGTGACATTAAAATAAAATCTCTGGAGACTGTGGTTTACAAAATACATGCTACCTGTAAATAATTTTAGACCTGCTGATTTTTTTCTGGAGCACCTGTTTGAGCTGGGTGTTTATGAGGTTTTGAGCAAAGCAACTAAACTATATCTTAAGCCTCTTGCCATGTCTTACAGATTTGTAAAGTGTGAACCATCACAACGCACCTGCATAACCACATTTCTGTCAACACTTCACCACACAACCTCAGAAACAAATGACAGAGGATACATGATTCCCATGTCCAGTGTTGCTTTACTAGACTTGAGTCTTGACAGACTTGAGCAAAAATTTAGGGGAGACCGGGGATGAAAGTAACACTTTTTGTTTGAGCATCAGTAACTCCGTGGCTGTTTGTGCTAGATCTCTCAAACTTTGATATACGGTAGCCACATTTGTCTACTACAAATAAAACACACTTGGACATGTACTGCATAATCTCAGATTATGTGAGTTAATGTCAAATACAAAGTGAGTTAATTATGACTGATTATGTGAGTTAATGTTGTTACAACCTACCCCACTACTGGGGTGAGTTGTAACACAGGCTGGGGATAGATGTAACAATGTGAAGTAATTTGCTGAAATAAGACCCCCACTTCCAATTTATGCAAAAACTTTATTGAAGAGCAAAGAATAATCAGTTTTGAATAAAGTGAACAATTTAAAGTGACAAAAACATTATATTGTATTCCTTTTAGGACTTTAAATTGAGCACAAAAACAATTACTGTGTGTGTGTGTTTGTGTGTGAGTGTGAGTGTGTGTGTGTACGTATCAGTCAGATGAGTTGCCATCTACCTATTTTTATGTGAATTTTGGAATATCACATAAAAAAATGCTGGACGGAAATGTCAAGATGCGCATAAATTCTAAACATGTGCACTAAAAATGTTTGTGCTCATTTAAGGCAGATAGTGTTTTTATCCAATAAGAAGATATGCGCATAAACTATGATGGAAACACATTTTACATAAATCCCTTGATGTGCAACAAAAACCTCACATGACTTTGCCTCAATAGAGGATGTGATTGGATAACTGAACTCATCATAAGGAATTGGTTGTAACATTTTTAATGAACTGTTACAACTATCCCCACCCCAAACAGCCATAGCTAACTGTTTTAGCATGTGGGGTTTAAGTTAGCATGAATGCAAAGTATCAAATTAAACTAGAGAAACAGCTACTTTAGGTTGTAGAGGTCAAATAATTGTATCTACAACACAATGATTGCTAGGCAAAAAATATAATCTTAATGAAAAAATTACTTTCTTTCCTGAAAATCAGTTTTTTGGTCATAAAATCTACAATGTTACTCACATTCACATGCCACTTCTCCTGTAACATTAAAAATGTGAATGGAGTGTATGATATTGATGACATCACCACAGCTCCTTTCTCATCATGCTTGTCATGTGACTTTCCCAAACGTGTTAATCATGAACATATCTCAGTTCTAAAATATGTGAAAGTAAATGCATTTTGCACCTTTATATGTCATGTTAGTTCATCTAAAACGGGCGACGGGCAAAATTAATCCAGTGGCGAGCGGTGACTTTTTTAACCGGGTGCTGCTGAGTGATCAAATTAAGACCCCCACCCCCATTTTAAAAGTATGCACATTTTCTACCTTGTTTGTAAATTAAATTAATCTCCAATCCTTCTTCTATCGTTTCAGGTCTATCCATTGTTATTCGAATGCTAGAAAAATAGAGGCTAGCTGGTTTTCAAAGTAAAAACCGCCAAATAAGGTTTACACGTAGTTACGTTATGATACGTGATATTCAGAGGGAGACATGCTAGCATAACAAAATGTATGGTATTTAGGCCTACTAGTTGCCATATCAACACTATAGAAAAAAAAGTGCGCCAAAACTCAAAAATCTTTTGAAGATATCGCTGAACATTTATTTTACCATAGTAAAAGTAAATTTTTCATCTCAGTTTTTAGTATTCATTTAAAATGAGGCAAATGTGCTATTATTTTAATCTCCAATCTGTTATTTATCAGGTTTGATTAAATTCCAGTTGCGCAGATGGGGCACCTTGTAACACTGCGTTACAATGTGCTATTCTATGACATTAGCAATGTGATTTACACTATTTACTTTAATGAATTTTAATGAGAAACCACGAGGAACAGGTGAATAAAGACTGACAGTCAATGTTTAATGTTCAGAAGGTATTATTTCAAGAAATGTACAGCATTTTTGCTCATTTATGTGGGCCGTCCCAAGCATGGTTGCAATGTGTTCATTGTCAAACTCCAAAATCAGATTATTTTTAATTCTTAAAAAAAGGCCATTATTTTATTTGAAAAAGTTAATAATTTTATTTTATTGACAAAATATTTTAGTTTGTCTTGTATATTTTCATTATATAATCATGTTTATATTAATTATCCCGTGAACTTCTCTCAAATGGCCTGGGTATGCAGAGCATTCGCATTTTATGGACGAAAGGCCACTGGTAATCTATTAACTAGCTCCACATAAAATCAGCCTTTTTACTTAACTACCACATATTGGTGTCATGCCATAACATATTTTTAATACGACTGACATTGTATTTAAAGTGAATTTAATAAAAAACATAGTAAGTTACTAATTAGAACACTTTCATTGTACAGAAAGATAGCAAAGAACATTAAAGTCCCTTTCACACAGTGTTGCCAACTAATTTTCAGGGGAAGCTGCTAAAGGAAGGTTGATTTGTTGCTAAAAGTTGCTAAATGATGTTGTGATGACATTGCGTGATGACGTCATTACGTAATCACAATGCAAAATTATGTCAAATGTCAGCAAAAACATATATATTTTATATATGTTAATTTAGATTTGTTCATAACAATATAAATGCATAATATAATATTAAAATATAAATAACTATTTTTAAATCCATTGAATTATCGAAAACGTACACATTTTTGAACGATTACAATTAAAGTTTTAGTTAATTAAGTTGTACGGAGTTATATTAGCTATCGGGGGCTAGACAAGGGGTTCTAGCAAAACCGCTGATTAATGTTTGAGTATTACATGGGTAACTGTGGGGGGCTAAACAGACCTACTATTTAAAGTATATTAAATAGTATTAGCCACAAACCTCTGAATAAGGTTCAGACTGGCGAGTTTTGTGATCGTGGAGCCCACGCATAGCGGCCGCCGTGAGGCATCCTAAATAACATAGAATCTTAATGAACGAGAAAATACAGAGTAAAGAGTTAACTAGAATTATCAAATGTCAGAATAATTAGAGACCGACAAACAACCAATTTGCCTTTCAACCTAAATTCGAGGTAATACTAAAATGGAGTCAGATTAGATAATAAAATGGAGTCAGATTTGAGTTAAACCTAAATTGAATAACTCTGCGCGCTGAAAAGACTGAACACGCAAGTAACCTTCATCCACCACTGGATACCTTCCTTGGGCCAAGTGCGTGGACCTTACAGTCGCTAGATTTAGCGACTTTTCAGACCCCCTTAGTGACTTTTTTTTTTTTCAAAAAAAGCGACTAGCGACAAATCTAGCGACTTTCTTGGACAAACCTTATTTAGTCTCTGAGACTCTCCGGTACTGCCGCACGAGCGCGAGGTCTTGCTTTCCCAGCGTCTGCTCTGTTCAGTGAGCGCAGAGAGGAACAGCACTTTTAGTTAAAAAAAGATATTCTGTTGCTTCTTTGTCTTTGTTCTTTGCCATTGTCTTAATCGTATGTGTATTTTTTTTTTCATTAGACAATGTCGTGATTAGGATTTTAGTGCAGATTAATCTTTAAAAGTTGTTAATGTAGTCTTAATGGACCGCATTTCAGTCACTATAATATTCATTCCGTTGTCTGACAACACAAACAGTAAAATATATTAATAAAAACAGTTTTATTGAGAATTGGGCTGTATTAAAATGCAGTACGTGAGCACAGGGAGGCCAGAAAATATGACGCACTGACGTCATGAATATGCTAATTAGCGTATGACGTCATCTAGCGACTTTTCAGGTGGGGTTTAGCTACTTTCCATTGAAAGAAGTTGGCAACACTGAATGTCAGTCTACCTGTGTGCGAGGCTAATGAGCACATGTACTACTCTGTTCTCCCCGTGAATGACTCTGGTATGGCGATGTTTTTTGTCTAAAATGCATATTTATCGCTGGATGAATGTAATTACTTTATACTAGCACTCGATTGTGCTAGTTATAATGTAAATGTATATTTTACGGTGTTATTTAACTTAAACGGTGTACATTGTGACGCTAACTAATTAGCATCATATGTTTAGTGTGCCAGAGAGGGAGAAGCTGTCGCCTGTTGATCCACTGATTATTTCTCCTTGTTACAGGTATGTTTAATTCTGTTTTATAAAAGAAAAAAGATTTAGTTGAATGTGTATTGTACGTAGAGTGTTACGGGAGAAAATCCGATTTAATGATTCATGCAGTGCGTGACGCACGTGGTGCAGCCTACACATAGTACGGTGCTAAACATATTGACTGATTAATTTCATTATGTAACGTGTAGGAATACTGATTTATTCATGCAAGTGGTATTATAATTTTGTTTTATTTCACTATAGTATGTTTTAATGTATAAATACTTGAATTAATGCATAAGTTAATAATGTAATAGATTTTATATCTAATGTAATATTGTAAAATAATTATTGTAATGTATTAATAGGAATATTAATGTGATGTGTAAGAAAGACAAGAGACATTGTAAACAGTATAATTTATTTACATTTATTTCATTCTTTTCCATTATTGTATAATGTCAGTCTACCTGTGTGCGAGGCTAATGAGCACATGTACTATGTTCTCCCCGTGAATGACTCTGTGTGCCAGAGAGGGAGAAGCTGTCGCCTGTTGATCCACTGATTATTTCTCCTTGTTACAGATTGAGTAAAAGAAAGTGCTGAATCTCATCAACGAGTGGTCGTGTGGTCTTTATGTGTGTGAGGGTGGCCGGTCCAAACATGCTACAAATGCTCTTTAGGCAAATCATCAAAAACAACTTCACTTGTGACAAAAAAAGACAACAATTAATGACAGAATGACACAAACACAAATTTCCGTTATGTTTTATTTAGTTTTTAGCAGAGCCGTTGGCTCTGGTTTTTAGTAAACACAAAGGTGATGTTGACAATTGTAACTATGGCAACGTCCGCTCCGAGACCGCAAAGCGACCACGCCTCAACTGCACAAAACGCTTCCACAACAAGAGAAAGCGGCAGCCGCGCGGCGATTCCACCGCTTGCCGCGTCCCGTGTGAAAGGGCCTTTAGGCTACATTATCAAAGAACATTATCATTTCATTATCAAAACTTCAGTCTAGCCAGAGTTCAAGCACTCTCAAAAACTCCCATTATAATCACTGAATCGGTTTACACTGTGAAATGAATATCTCACTTCTGCACATCTATACGTTGTTGTTTCTAATGATAGAATTCAGTAAGTGAGCGCGCACACTGACCAAAACAGGAGTTTCAGCGATGACTCATCTGAACGCCTCTGATTGGCTATTGCATTCATAAGCTCAACAGAATCGTGTGTGATTGGTTATAATGCGCAGAGCTCTAAAAACGCGCCTGTCTCTGGCTCAGCGGCAGCCAGCGAACACAGATTTGAATTTAGCAGCTGGTGATGTGCACTGAACATTATAATCAAATATATTGTATCAAATATTAAAAAATATATATTAATCTGCTATTTTTTTGTCTTTTGTAAGCTGAAATCAAAATCCAATTGGCTCAGTTTGAATGGGCATGACACCTCTGAATTGAATTATTGAACGATTGTTCTTTCAAGTCAGGTCTACTGTAAATCTAATGTACTTGCACAATTGACATAATTGTAACGTACACGTCATTGAGCTTAATCTCGTGTATTTTCACACAAAACATTTTCACACTATGTGCACGGGTGGACTTAGTGATTTGGGGGCCCTAAGCAAATTCCTGGTGTGGGGCCCCAACGCAATAACTATGTGCTCTTTTACGCCTAACCTTTTATTTTGCTTGCTCACTCTCATAGTTTATTTATCCATTCACAACCTGTAATTAGTCAACCTGATGCTGTTCTAAAGCCATATTAGAACACTACCTTTTTTTCGGATCACAAAAGAAGATTTTAAAAAATGCTTGCACTTGTCCATTTAATAAATTGTAAACTTTTTCAATATTTTTACAAAGATGAAATTATCCCATGCAACTCATTCCATAGTCCAAGTGTTCTGAAGGCATATGGTAGGGTTTGCAGAGAAACCAATCAAAAATGTAATCTATTATTAAGCAAAAATCTCCAGTCATCGCATTTGTGCATTTACGAGTGCATTTATACGTGCATTTTATAGGCTACGAGTGCGCGGCAGTTCGCGCCGGCGCGCCAAGGAAAAGCACACAAGAGAGTCATTTTGAAACATCAAGACAAATAAAATTATGACTTGAAACACAGTACTTTCTTTACTGAGGTGAATATTTCTGTTCTGAGACAGTCAGACAGTAATATACAGCCTAGAATGCAGCTGTCTCACTTCAGTTCATTGCGATCTCAATGATGCTCTGTTTTTTGACATAACGTTCCATTAATAAGCGCTCTGCACTGCACAATGAATCTACACTTCGTTATAATGAGAGGATTCCCGAGCTTGCATAACTCGGCAAACTGGCATTTTAAATGGAGAGTGGATTCTAACATAAACACTTCTGGTCATTGCATTCAAGAAATGAACAGATATGTCTGTGATTGGCTATTGTTCAACGCTGCAAATATGTTTCTGCATTATCAGATGGGGCCCCCTGATTCCCTGGGGCCCTAAGCGGCCGCTTACCTCGCTTATTGGTTAAGTCCGCCCTTGACTATGTGACAAAACAGAAGCTGTAGCTTATTTGTGAAGAAGCCCATGGATATGGGAATTTCCACTCTGGTTTCCTGTAAGCATCTTGGCCTGAAGTAGCTACCGTTATACTGTACACAAATCTGTAAGATGCTTCTTTACCAGATAGACAGTTTACCCTGTCTTACTGTTGCATGTGTGGCTCTGTCAGATTGTCTGCAAAGATTTCAGTGGTTTAGGTGATAAAGTAGCTGAGTTCAGTTTCACACCCTTCATCTACAGTAGTTACAACACACAGCCTCATGCAGCTGAGCCAAGAGTGCCTTTCAAAAAAAATTACAATTTTTGAAGATAAAGCTTATATACATGATGGATGAACATTAGACTCTTTCCACAATTAGGGTAGTTATTAATACACTTTTTTTTTTCAAGAGAAAAGGGTATGAATTAGTTTACTTTAGTTTCCCTAGTGCTTTAGAAAAGGTCCTAATGATGTTTACTTCTTGTAACAATATCAAACATCATATTTCTTGTCAAATCAAATCAAACAATACAAGATGGGAGTTCCATAAAAATATTTTCTTTTTCTTGAGTGTTTTCATTTGGATGTTTCGCTGCTCACTTACTCATCTTCTCTCTCTTTTCATGACGGTAGAGTAAAGGACCATCTCTGGGCTGACAATGGCTTCTGATGCAGAGCCATTTACAGAGTTATTATTCAGAAGAACTGATGAGGAAGTAGATAAAAAAAATATTGTGAGAAAAATGTCTCACAAAAGAGAGAGACTGTTTGACTGTTTGCTGTCACATGTTTGATGTACAGTGTAAGCAAAACAGTTCAAACTTCTGTAATACAACATAACTAACAATTACCTTCACTGTCATGGCAGTTGTGTGATTTAAGAACAACTGATGCATAGGTTATTTCATAATTTTTTTGTCCTGAAAGAGCAAAGAAAACAATAACGCAAGTTACAATTATATATATATATATAATTTTTTTTTGTTTTTGTTTTTTTCATTGATGTAGTAATTAAAGCATATATATATATTTTCATTGATGTAGTAATTAAAGCATATATATATATTTTCATTGATGTAGTAATTAAAGCATTTCTCAAGATTACTCAAAATATTCACAAAATATCCAGACTCATTCTAGACCACAGCAGGCATTAGTTTATATAACAATATACAGTATATACTGAGAAATAAGATTTACCTTCACTGTCATGGCAGTTGCGTGACTTAGGAACAACTGATGCATAGGTTATTTCATCATTATTTTGTCCTGAAAGAACAAAGAAAACAATAACATAAGTTGCAATTATACATATATATTTTTTTAATTATTGTAATAATTAAAGCATTTCTCAAGATTACTCCATCACAAAATATCAGAAGGCACAGCAGGCATTAGTTTATATAATAATATACAGTGTATACTGAGAAATAAGATTTACCTTCCACATCATGGCAATTGTGTGATGTGTGGTTGACTGATGCTTCGACTGTTTGTACTTACAACAGAGAAGATTCTTATTTGTTTATAAAGTAAAATACAGTAATCACCAAAACTATATGGAGACTTAAGGCACACTTAATTAATCATTAATTACTCACCCTCGTGTCATTACAAACCCGCAAGATCTTCATTCATATTCAGAACACAAATCAAGATGTGTCTAAGACGTGTTTTCTGTGTGCACAAAAAGTATTCTTGTAGCTTCATAAAATTAAGGTCGAACTGCTGATGTCTCATGGACTATTTTAACGATGTCCTTACTACCATTCTGGACCTTGAACGTGGTAGTTGCTTAGCTGTCTATGGAGGGTCAGAAAGCTTTTGGATTTCATCAAAATGATCTTGTGTTCCGAAGATGAAAAAAGTTCTTACGGGTTTGGAACGACATGAGGGTGAGTAATTAATGACCGAACTTTCATTTTTGGGTTAAGGACTTAAGGTTCTCCTCAGTTTCACACAGGTGTCGAAGATGTAGTTCTGGTCAGTTTCTAAAGGTTACATTTGATGCATGTGCGGTTCAGCAATGGAATGAATAAAAAAAGTTTCTGGAAGAGCAGCTCAAAGAATTCATTTATAATTGTTTTTTTCCCTAATGTGCTACCTTATAAAATGCCACTTGTTTTAACAGGCTTCTCAAGTAACCATTCCAGAGAGACTTGATCACATATGTATAGATCATAGCCTACTTATAATTACTTTCACCAGCATTTATAACTAGCTTAGAATATTTATTTACATTTATATGGTTTGCTTTAACATCATAGCAGAGTGGTTAGACTCACGTTTTGTCCATGTATAGTAAACGCACACAGTGATCAGACAGAGAAGCAGAAATCCTCCTCCTGCAACTACGAGCTGCCAGTTATTGAGCAGTGAAAACTCAACAGCGGCCAGACCTGATCAAGATCATAAATTCATCCACTTCATAACACAATATCAGGTTTCTACACACCAATAGTCTATTAATGTCCTCGTAAAAAGTTATAATTCAAATACTCACTGATTTCTATCTCTTTGTAGCCCAGAGAACAGTTGACGTCTCTGAAGAGTTCACAGCGGTAGAGACCCAGATCAGACAGCTGCACATCTCTAATCAGGATGGAGAAGTTTCCAGAGGCAGCAGCAGCACTGAATGCCTTAATTCTATTGCGTCTGTTATTCCAGAAGCTTTCAGCACAATTTACTTCGATCTCTACAATGTAGTTAATGGTTTCATTAATCTGAGTCCACACAGCACCTAAATTCATGGTCGGGTTTGATCCAGTCAGAGCTGGTTCAAAAAGGCACGGCAGCAGGATTTCAGACTGCAGTTCTGTGGCTAAATTGATTCTTGTAACATGCTTCCCTTCATTGCACACATCTTGACCTGTGTGAAAGATTGGACATAGACAAGAGCTTGATAAAGTGGAAAGAAAAAATCAAAGAAGTGCAATGAAAGTAGTATAGGTTATAATACAGATAATAAACATAAGACATTTACTGACCTCTGCCATACACAAGACAGCAGCAGCAGCACAATATCCACACAGCAGAAAAACACAGTCCAAACAGCTTCATGGTCTCATCTGATCACTGAAGCTGCGACAGAAAAGAACAGTGAGTTCAAGAGCAGCGAGGTGAGAATTTGTTGAGCATGTCACTTCCTGAAAAAGCTGAAAAAAGAAGGCTACTTGGTAAAACCACAGTGATGATTCTCAATTAACAATTGGTTTATGGAAAACAAATTTTTAAAAATATATAATTTAAAACAAAGCAAACAGCAAAAAATACTGAGGTGTTATGCTGTAC